GCATTGAGCCCAACAACTTGTGGTTGGAATTAAACCTTCCTGTTCATTCTGCCCTCCACTGCTCTCCCAGACTGGCAAGATGTACAGGACATACCTGATTTGGCTGTGCAGTATTTGTCTCATCTGCCTCGCCAAGAGGCTGTTTATCTGGGATCCCATTACTCAAACATGAGGCAATCTAGAAAAGTAACAGACATTCACAGAGTGAAGCCTCTATCAAAGTTAAACACCTGGGCAGCAAAGCCACCAAGTGACTGGCAAGCCCCAGACACAATTCCCCTGCCTCTCTCACCTGTATGAAAAGTTCGACCTCTCCCTATTCCTGGCTGGCTGTCTATCAGAGGTTATTTATCCTTTTCAGAGAATTGTCCATGCTGCTGCAAGAGTTTCCTCCCTTGCAGCTCCATCAGTGCTATGTCAAACTGTCTTCATCTGTCACCTTCTTCCTGGCTATGGAATATCCTGAGATGCAGAGCTGGATGCTAGAAGAAGCTCTCACAACTGCACTGTTGTTATACACTTCCTAGAGCACCAACAACTGGAAGCAAGATAAATAAGCTCAAGACCCCTTTAGTCTGATCCTGTACAGCTACGCTTATACCCTTAAAAGTGCCCACATTTGCTTTTTAATGGGCAATAGCTGAGGTGCCTCTCCACTGATATTTCATATAGTTCGGTCTTCTGTGTGCTGTGAGATCACTCGCTTATTTCCAGTAGGGACCCTACAACTATCCTGCAGCAGCTTTAGTCCTGTAAAGGTTTCTCTCTACTGGAAAGACCTCTTACCTTTTTTTTCAGATCCTCTTCACTGTAGCCCAGCAGCTTGAGGAGTTTAGTCCTGGACTCCTGCTCCAGATTCACCTGAGTCCCAAAGGATATTGAAAAAGACAAGAAAATATGTAAAATCCTAGACATCTACACAGTGTCAACAGTTGGCTGCTTCCGGCAGCAGCAAAGTTTAGAGCTCAGTTTATAGGTAAGGAACTCAAGTATGACAAGTCCACCAAACAACTACTGTAGGAAAATCTGTGGAATTTAAGTTACAATCAAGATAAAAGGGTGAAATTCAAGTTTGTCACATAGTTACAATTGAGGTACAACTGCGTATCAGGGCTATGACTGTATGCATACTTAGCGTACTTGGTCATTCATTCCCTGGATGGTCTAGGAATTGCCAAGCTAATGTCTGCATAGAGACAACAGACTGATTTGAGTCTGCATGAAACTGAGACAAGGTGGTTGACTGAACTCCTAGCTGGCTTCACAAAAATTAGTGAATTAATTGTTACAGAAGCTCCCAGGGTGGAGTTTTCAGACAGTCCCAGAGGTTCCCACAGGCTGCATGCAGCCTAATTGACAGGTGCTATTTGTATGCCTTAATGCGTGATTAACATTCTGCAAGGAGAATCTGTCTGTCTCAGTAAGTCTCAGGCTCTTCCTACTACAGAACTGACCAAACCGTACGTGGATAAGATACTTGTGAACAGTCAGTAGAAACTGTTCTGGCAGATGCAGAAACGGTCATGCAGGACAGTCTTTTGTACAGAAGCTTGGTCTGTAGTTTGAGAAAATCAATACTAATAGATCTTGTACGTGCTGGAGTGGTCTCACAGGACCATGGGCATCCTGGATTATAAAAATTCACTAGAACAACAGATCAACCTATCTCATCCAATGCAGTTGAAGACACTGTTGCAATGACTCTTGCAATGCAGAGCACTGTCACCACCTATACAACACCAGGCCATCCTATTCAAGAGATATGATTCCTTATGCCAATGTAATATTATGGAAAAGATCCCAACGTTTCGCTCCACACACAGTCTGTCTATGAGTGTCTGTAAAACACTACCAAGGCTAAGCCTTGCCCCTCCAGAAGGGCAGCCATTCCTCATTAACAAACTCCTTCATATTACCAAATTGTCAATGAAACCATCATCCTACGTAGGACTACAGTCAGTCCTCATGTCACCACAGCTCTCTCCCTTAATATTGAGGAATCTCACTGCCCATTTGGACTTTGCCTTGAGCAATAACAAGAGTAGAGCTCCCCAGGTAGCAGGCAGATATAGCTTGGCAGTGGGTTGAGATGAGGAAATCTTGTTTAGCACCTTGACAGGAAGTCCAAACGAGTCCACTGAAAAGACCTTTCCTACTGAAAAATACAGTAGCCTCCCAGACCTCAACTGCAAAAGCTTTTCTTTAGCCAAGTAACTAACTAGCCTATTCAGTTCTACTTTATATCTTAAAGAACAGGAATATAAAGGGCTAAGAAGGACCATAATGAATACATTCCACCTCAGGACCATAAAAGAACTGACCTCAGTGTTTCAACACAGCCAGCCTACCTTCAGGAAGTTCCAAAGGTTTTCATCAAATGGCAACTTGGCTGTCTGGATCTTGCCCTGGCAGTAATCAACGAGGTTCCCTGACTGTAAGGCCATCTGCAGTTCTTTGGATCGAAGCAGAAATTCGGTTTCAGTAGTGACTTGACTGATGAATACCTGGTGTGGGCAAGTCTGCTGCATTTGCTGTCCAGGAGCTTTGGTAAGACCAAAGGAAATAAGTTTTCCTCCAAACTGAGAAAGACAGAAGGGAGACACAGTAAGCATTCTTATATATGAAGGTAAAAGCAACTCACTTAGCTCTTCATTCAGCAAGGTGGACTCAAGCTCCAGCTGTCATCACAAGGAACTCAGTTTAATGTGTATGGATGCTAGGGACATTGAGAGAGTTCACATCACAAGCCCTTCAGCTGATGACTGATAACCACAACACTTGAGTATGCGCTATCAGGTCTAGACAATTGCAAATGTCAGAGAGGCATAGAGGAAAAAGTACCGTTTGGAATGTTTGTTCTTTTCTGACATGGAGAGGCAAGCTGCAATGATAAAAACTATCATGCAAATGTCAGGTACTGGACAGACAGAACAAGTCAAGCCACAGGCTAAAAGAACAATTCAGCCTTTCAATTTAGGAGCAAAGAGGTGAAGAAAATTAAACATCTGGATAGGAAGGAGAAAGACAGAAGAGAATGGGAATGCATGTCACAGCCTACAAGGACACTTTTTGTAAGTCTTTCTTAGCTTTGTTAACTCTTAATTATAACCTCCTATTCTCCGCTACAGGACTCTTTCTTGTTGGAAATATATCTGAACGTTGAGCAAAAGAGCTTCGCTCCATGGGACACATCACACTGCACCTTAAACAGGCATCAAAACAACTAGCAACAGGAAGATAAAAAGGTATCTCTGGCAAAAGAAAAGGACTGTGACACAAGATGACAGATCTATTGCATCTTAAGCTAAGGATGCTCCATTCACTTACTGCAAATGAAACCCCCACAGGTCTGCGAATCCACTTGGGTGGCTTTTTTAATGGTGGAATCAAGGTGGTCTGAGCCACTTGCTCTGGCACCTGCAGAGGAGGAAGGATCTGCCCTGTGCCAAAGGGATCCAGGTTGTTGAAGGAGGAAGAGATCTAGAACCAGACGGAGAAAGGAATAAGATAAAATTCAACTCCTCTCTGTACGGAGTTAGCACAAAAAAACTATTGTTTAGTAATTACTCTTCTCACCAATGAAGACAAAGGCTAACACAGCACGTCTTCCTGGAATACCACCAAGCCTCTATATGACAGAAACTGTATTTCCAAACAGTTTTCAGAAATTATTTCTCAAGAAACCTTCACCTTGAGAGATTTTTCAAGTAATTTTTCCTTAGCAAGATGCAAATTCCCTAACAAACACTGCCTGGCCTAGCACCCAGCTCATAAACACAAGAGTTACAAAATTACTTGTTTTACGCAAGACAGTGACAACATACGGTCAAAAGTTTTCCAACTTATTTCTTGTTTTGCTCACAAAGGAACGCTGACTCTCTTTCTGTTGCTAGGGTCTTTCATATGGGTTAGTTTTAAGGACTGTCTCAAGCTTTTATAGCTTAGAAAAGGCTGGTGAAATAATCTCTCCAGGCTTTCTTGCCTAGACAAGAGAGTGTCAAAAGTGGCCTCTGATCTGGATTTCTGACATTTAGAATGTCAGTGAGCATACATACAATGCTGTTCACAAGCATTCTTAATTTTTAACATTGTTGGCATAGATTTGTTGTTTGCCAAAGATAACCCCGTTCAAGTTTGACTGGACCATAGGGCATAGCTCCAAAATACAGCTCACTAGCATATCTGAAAAGAAGCAACACAAGGCTCATCAAGGTAAAGCTGCCAAACAAAGAATCACAGGCAAGCTACATGTTTTGTCTTTCAAGTCCTTCTTGAGAGGAAACCTATTCCAAAGAAGGATCATTTTCTGGAAGAACAGCTTATACCTAACACATCAATCACACTAAACCTTCAAAAAATAAATACACTCTACCAGGGTACCAGTAACATCAACCACTAGGTCTTCAACAGAGTTTCTATCCTGATACCATGGAAGCCAGAGGAAAAAGACCTCTTGGCCACGAACTCCCCACCTCCATAGTTGTCACTACGTCCTCCTATTTTTGTTCTTACTTCTTATTCTATTTACGAGTTATTCTACCCTACTGTTCTCCAATTTTGAAGAGTGGAAGTGTGGTGCACGCACATGAAGAATGGACAGAAAAGAAAATTCTCCATGGGTTAAATAAATCCTTAATCTCCTACAGCTGTTGCTTGATAAAGTATTTTCTTTCTCTTGCAAATCCGATGAAACTGAACTCAGTCAGCTGTAAATGACTATATAAGTAACACTTAAGCCAGCTGATATGTATTCTCTCAAAACCTGTATTGTAAGGCGTTTGTTGGCTGGGAGAGAGGAAGGGAATTAAAAGACTAGACATCAGATTAAAACTAACATTTTAGACCATACTGACATTTAATCTGTTCAGAGTTTGCCCATCTATTCATTGGCTAAGTAATAGATTTCAATATCAAAATATTAACATGCTCCAAGTTATAGTCAATTGACTTGAGGAGAATTGCTAATAGTGGCTTATAAGGTACTTTTAAAAATTCTCTTCTGAACTAATAAAGAATAACATGATGTCTTAATTAGTATCAATGTGTTTAATTTTAACCTAATGACAAGTTTGTTGCTCTATTAGATGTGCTGCTTTATTTTTAGTTTACTCGTAATAACCATAAAATATCTATAACATTAAAACTACGCTTGATCTTGGTTCTTTTTACACATTTCATTGAATTTTACAAGAAATACTGAGACACTTTTGTCAAGCGACAATGTAGTCCCTTTGGGACTTGGTGATATTAAGTCCCAACACAGGTAGCTTCTGGTTCCCACACCATACAGCTATACATCCTGGTGGGTGGGACACAATGCATCACCTAAAACTCATACTGTTACACGTGTGCTTCTAACGCTCTCAGAAGTCAGGTGAGTAACTGCCGATCCATCAAGCCGTAACATGTTCACAGGACTCTACCTTGTCAGCCTGCGTCTTCTGCTGAGCTTCTAAGTTCCCACCCATAACAGAATAAATGTTGATCCACCCATCGAAAGTGGCAGCTGAGAAGACTGAAGGATTCCTAGGACACCACTGGACATCAAAGCACCACTGACTCCGAATGGGCAACTCGTAAACCACCTATCACAGAAAGAGAAGGCAGAAGCACAACACGAATAGTCCCCTCCTTTCCCCAAGTGACTTGCCCACAGCAGGTGTGTCACACTTTATTTACATATCACCGCTGTATACAAGGCTCTTATTGTTGCTTCTTGAAGGACACATTGTAACCAAGTTACAGCGCATTGAGCCCAAACAGCAGAAAGCTGCTATACCATAGGATTCTGATTGTAGAACAAAATGCAAAAGCAACAAGTCAGTACTATTGCATCTGCTGTTAACCAAGGGAGACACACCAGAAAACAATATAAGAAAATCAGAAGCCAAAAGGCAAGAAGGTGTCATGAGCAAGAACATGTAAACAGCAAGAATAGTCAGGAATAACAAATTTGACAAAGAAAATAAAAGCCTAGACAAAAAAGTAGGACAGAAGAGGACTGTAACAGCTGCAGATGAACTATGAAGGATATTGCAGCCAACGAATTTCTGGTCCGGCACTCAAAAATCCAAAATTCGATTCACGGCCCAGTCACAGACTTTCTGTGTGATGTTGGGCAACTCACTAACACTATCCTGACTTTGAACCTCCAGTTCGTAAAATGAAGAGATTTCCTTTATGCCTCACAGGCACAAAGCACAGAGAACCACAGCTTCCTTCTCTGTGGAAATATGATCTGCATTTTCTGTTCCCAGATAGAAAACATTGTATTAGCTTATATTAAAATCTGGATTGCTAAATTAAAAAAGAATAAAAATTAAGAAAAAGACAACAACAACAAAAAACAAATATCAAAAAAAACCCCAAAGAAATAAACCAGATCAGCCATTCTGTATAACTGTACTGTCCTTACTATTGAAAACCTTTTGAAGTTTTGTATCACCTGAAAATTTTCTGTTCAGTGGTGCCAAGTCAAGAACAGCCCCTTAACAACAGTTTGTGCATAAATGCCTAAGTTGAAATTGGACTCTTCAAATTTACAGCAGCATGCATAAAGATGAGCCAGCTGCACTAAAATTTCTTTTTTTAATTTTTCTGCTATCACACAGCAAGAAGACTTTAGTGAAAATCAGACTTCAGGAACGTTTCACAGACTGATTCTCCTCTAACCACTAGACAACTGTACAGAGTGAGCATCAAATCCATGAAACCAGAACAGCGTTTCATGCATTTTATGAAAAGGGATTGATTTTTTTCCATGCCTCCAAGGTAAAGGTGGTCAACTAAGTGAAATCGTCCCATGAAATTAATCCAGCCTGGGGCTCCCAGCAGGACTTTGCTCAGTATTGTTTGAGTACTTTCCCCATGCCATCACCAAGATCAACTGCATGAATATTGATCAAAGTTCAAAATTCAGTTTTATCCAGAAATTCACCACTGAATGAGCAGGTGTGCCAAAAAAATATTTTACACAGTCCTATTTTAATTCAGGTGATACTAAAATAGTTCAAAGATGGTAATTTTGACATACATGACTAGATACACACATACATGTGAAACCAGCGTGCTATGAATAAAGTTTACATATGTATTTAAACATATTGTTCCACTCTTAATGACTCTGACAAATGCTCCTCACTCTCCTTCAAGTTTCCCCCAAAGAAACTTACTACCCTAAAAGAAGAAGAAACAAATGGACAAAGACAACACTACATGTGTGAACACAGCAAGATTAATCATAATTAGCTGAAACTAAGTTTTCGTTAAAACTTTCCTCCCTCTACAGTCTCTGGACAAAGATATATGAGAGCAAATCTGTCTGTGTCTGTTTTCAGTCTGGATATGGACAACACTCTCATTCACTCCAGGCAGGAAGAGTGCAGAAGATATTCTGGAGGAAATTACACTGGCACTCCACAGGAATACGGAGAAGGGGCACACACATAGCATAGCACACAGCTCTTTATAAAGCAGACCATGTGTGCTCATAGCTGTGGTTATGTACCTCTGCCATACTTGGGTTCCAGCACAAGATCCGGTTGTCTTTGGCGCTACTCAACAGCAGTTCAGGGTCAGCCTGGCACCAAGAGACAGAGAGAACTCCCCTAAAATCAATCAGAAAGAAATCAGTCATATTTCATACCCAGTCCACTCTCCCACTCCGTCACCAAGAAAGCAGCAGAAATGTTCCTTGAGCTCAGAAATGCTATTTCTCATCTCTACCCTCAACCAGATTCATCTGTGAAACAAAGCAGCCCTAGCAAAAAAAAATCATAGTTCTCCTAAGTCCAGTCTCCCAGATATCTGCCTTTTAAAGATGGATATCCTTGAAAAGGCAACACAAGAAGCGGGCCCTCACCTCGTGTGCCCTTCCAGCTGGCTCAAAGGAGAGGTAGCAAATCGTAAGTCCCATATTTGGATCACTGGCAAGCGGTCGTCCTCAGAGGAAAGGACTAGCTGGGTTGCAACTTCTGGATGCCAGGCCATTCCTGAGCAATGCATCTAGGGACAAAAATAGCAGAGCCTAAAAATTCAGCAAAGCAAGTTGGCAATAGCACATATGGCCCACAGCCACATCATTCTGCACTTAACTTGCCTAGAATGCTTGACATATAGCAAGTCCAGCAACGCCTTGCTGTGGAAAGCACGTATTTCTACCTTCTCTACACAGAAAAAAAACCACTAACCATACAGAAGTTCAACGACTAGTTCAAAGTTGATCTAGAAAGACAGCTGAGATTAAAACACAGGAGGCTTCTCATAAATGAGCTGTGAACATTAGGAACTGAATGCAAGGGTGCTCTAATTTTAGGAACAGCTAGGGGTCTTGTTTCTTCATTTAATTAGGGAAAAAAGAGAGGTGCTTTGATGCTACAGCTCCAAAAGAACCAGCCTCAACAGCTCCCACAATAAAAACACTTGATCCCAAGAGCCTGTGCCACTGCTTTACAGTCACATGTGGCACGTTGTAAGCGAGTCAGAATCAGCATCTTTCCTCCACTCACTCTGTTGCTGTGGTCACTGACTTTGATGATAGGCTCATTCTTCCTGAGGTCCCAAACCACAGCCTTGCCGCTGGGGTGAGCAGAAGACAGGATATGCTGCACCTGTCGATTCCAGGACACCACACTGATGTCTTCATGAGGCTGCCAAGATAGGAAAGGCCACACATCCATTATTCCCATGTTGAGGGAACATTAATCACAGGATTCTATCACTAGCTTAACTAAGGGATTTGAGGATACATAGATTCCTTTCTCCAATCACTGATCAACTAACTGGAGCAGCACTGACCAGAAAGACTAGGGAGACTGGAAAGTCCTTTACTCAGAACATGCAGTGGAGAGTCACCCAGAAATCCTATGGGGAAACGTCACCCAGAAAAGCAACTTTGCATTTTGGCAGCAGGTATTGGATTCTGCATTGGCCAAATGTGTCATATATCAGTCCAGGTAGAACCATAGCTGAGAGAAAATAGATGCTTCCATCCTAACTCCTGAGATGAACTCAGATGGAAAGATGACCTTGTGCAACATTTCAGGAGTGCAATGAGATGGCAAATTAAGCATTCAAGGCTAATTGCCGTTACTGTATCTACCGCAATGCAGGAGATAGGCAAGACGACGAATGGGAGGCTTATTTGTGGAAAAACGTGGCCTGCTTTTAGGCAAGTTTACTGTGATTTTTTCACTTTCAGAAGTTGATTACCCTGAATAACATAATCAGCATCAGAAGATCAGAAGCTTCTTCCTCTTCAAACTCAGGAAATATTATCTGGGAGTAATAGCCAAGATGCATTAAATGGTTCACTGGCTCTGCTAGGGATACTACTTTCATGAGATATGAAAAGCTTCAGCTGAAGCCTGAAGTAAATTCATTCCTCAGAGGTCCAGTAAGCTTTCTTAATCCATGACACATGCCCCAGCTGGATCACAAGATAAACTGGTCAGTTACTCGATTCAAATCCACAAAGAACTTACCCAACTATGCAAAGTGCATCCTTCCAGAGCATGCCAGTCTACCTCCTCTCCCC